AAATGGTGTGTCAAGATATCAAAACTGTAGAGGATTTTTTTTTTTTTTGGGTCATGGTAAGCTCATGGGAATGAAGGTATGAGGCCACGCCACCACAGGATATAAGCCCACCTGAGGTGTTGGAGAGAGGGGAGCATCATCCATGGGAGATAGAGTCATGGCTTCTTGGCCAACCTGCATAAAGCTACAGCACATCATAGTTGCTGCTTGGGCTAGAAGAGCCAAGAAGCCCCAAATCAGCAACTCCAAACCTGCACGAACAGATAATCAGAGCCATGAACATAGGAAGGATTTAAGCAACAAGAACCATCAGGAATCAAAGATCAAATTTATGAAAAAGGTTATATGGAGCAAACCATTGTTATCAATGAATATTAATCTCTGATCATCCACAGAACAAAGATGAGCAAGAGCCATGCAACTCGTCTTTGGACAGCCTTTTCTGAAACTCGCATAAGATATAACAAATGACTCAGGACCTGCATGGTGAAAAATAGAGGATTAAAAATTCGAACATCTTGATCAAATAAATTATAGGCTGAGAATCAATACAGCAGTTCATGATATTTCAAAATTAATCAACATTATATGCATCTCAATAAATATAAAGGGCACTTCTGCTTACGCGGCCATGAATCTTTTCCTCTAATCTTTTCAATGTCTTTGCAACACAATCTTTTGTCGCCTGCAGAAAGGTATGAATTCCATGCAGGTCAGAATAGGTCCAAGGAGAGTTTTTTCCACCCCAGTTCTCAAAAATAAGACCATACCATGCAATCACAACGTACATGATTCCAATGATATGACAAGATTAAAAAAAACATCATAATGGAAGCTAATTTCTCAAAGCAGATAAGTACAGTACTTACTTGAACAATAAACTCTCCATCCTGCAGTCTCTGAATTCCACCTACCCTAATAAAATCGGACACATTATCCTATGGAAGAAAATGAAATAACAAAAGAATAATCAATTAAAATTGTGCTCAGATTTTCAACCAATTTAATAACAAGTTATCCCAATTTCATTAGAATCCTTAGTTATATCATACCTCATTATCTGCAAGGCCATAAAGTGCAAAAGCTGCATTATGCTGCAAAGACCCATTTTGGAATCAAGAAGCTTAAGTAATGGCGCTAAGCCACCATTGTGTGCAATACCAGCTTGATTATGCACGTCCTGAAGTCAAAAATTTCTTTCAGGCCAGAGATGATGGTGCTAGAAAGAAACTATTATTCAACTTTCATATAGAAGCAAGGCACGTTGCACGGCACTTAATATCAAATAGCTAGTGTGATGCTACTGAGGTGGGCTAAGACCATTAAAATTTGACAGAACAAATATTATTTAGCATATGGCTAACATAACACATTATGCTAATGATTGAACATGACGGTGAATTTTGCTTTATTAGCTTACACAAGTAAGAAGTAGAAAATTATAACTTGGAAAATAAAAAGTACAGGGGATAACCTGTGCCAGTCGCCCCAATGCAAAGGCAGACATTTCTCTGAGTTGTAAATCCTGGGATTGAAGCATCTCTATCAGAGGTGGAACAGCACCTCTCTGAACAATATGAACTACAAAATTCAAGTAAAACAGATATTGAGACGAAGTTGATGGGAAGCGAAGGGAAGATGGAATGCACCATGCATCATAACAGGAGTATCACCCACACCGAATCAAATGATATTTTAGCGCCAATGTGATCCATATTTAGTAACAATATGAGCAGAAAGTTTAATAATTGGAAGTTGGACATAAAGCAGTACTTCATAGAATTTTCTACCCTCTTTATCTTCCAGGCAACAAAGATAAGAGTGTAAAGGTCTGTTCTGTTCCCCCGATAAAGCCCCTTCCTCCCTCCCCCTTCAATACAAGGTAAACAGATTAAGTTAACGCAATAAAGTTATGCTTACCTTGCAGTCAGAATCAGTAGCTGCAAACTGTCCAAGCAACAATGCTGCTTCCTTTGGCTCTCAGAGCAGCAAGAGCTTTTACATAAAACAGTACATGTATCAAAGGCCACGAAAACTTTAATGCAAGATACCATCGTTATGCAAGGTTATAGAAGGTAAATAGGAACTCCAGGGATATAATATAGTATGAAAGTTTGCCAAAGTCCAGAACAGAGAACATACCGAAGCAATCCAATTACAGGTTGCAAAGCTCCAGCTAGAATAACTTCTTTCTTTATATTAGGAGAAGAGTGCACCAGATTTCCAATCACACCAACCTGTAATACAATTAAGGATCATCATATGGTACAGTAGGATAAGCATAGTGACCAAACTCCATTCATCAACCACCAAAAAAAGAATGTTATACCGCTTCGTAATGAATAGCAGGATCTTCAGAACGAAGCATTAGAATCAGAGTTGGAAGAGCATTGCATTCGACAATCTGCGAAGTTGTGAGCTTGTGTAACTTGATTGTAATAGTCAAGTCAATTTCAAACCTCCGACTTTCAGAAATGGTCAGTTACCTGATTTTTGTTTTCATCATTTTTAAAAGCCAGGGTACGCAGTGCGCCCGCAGCTGCTCTTTGACCTTTGTATCAGGGAATTCAAGCAACTCAACGAGCGGTGGAATCCCACCTTCCATCCTATATATAGTGTCCAGATAATCATAAAGACAAAAACATGCCTCTTTTTAATTTGAAGGTACGGTAGTAATGGCAAAAAGCGAACCTGACACACGTTTTGATGTTACTGTTTTCATGCGCAAGATTAGTGATCGCATCTGCAGCCCTACGAATGACACTGTTCACAGCACGAGAAGCAGAGGTATTATGATGCCTCTTCAACAGATCAACAAGATGTTTTAAGGCACCGTTGTCAACAATGAGCTGTTGATGTTCTGGCTGTACAAAGAATTTCCAAATAAAATAGCAAGATTAAGTAAATAATATGATAATAATTAACACTCAAAAAGAAGCCAAAAGATAAAATGATGCTGCCACAACTCTATTTCAGAGAATTGTCATCACACGTACACCTTAAACAAAGTTAGCTTGCAGCATCACATAATCAATAATTCTGTGTATACATCACAACTCGCAGAATACTATTAAACAAAGAAAAAGACAAAAAAAGGTTACGTGATAGTCTTTAACATACGATTTAGTTGTAATTCGTGTATAATATTTGAAATCACGAAACTCAAGCTACCTTGACGGCAAGAAGTCCCAGAGCAAAAGCACTCCCTTTCTCAACCTCGTGCTCAAATGGCTTCTGACCAGGATCGTTTTCACTTGAAGGAGGCGCTTGGAGATGCTTAACCAAAGCCGGAATGGCGCCTCCTTCAACAATCACGTTCACCACTTCTTCTGCAAGCACAATCATCAAATACCGAAAAGAAAACATCAATCTCAAACCACCATACGCACACAAACACACTCTCACACACGCAAGAAATGGAGAGAAACACAGTAGAGAGACGACATAATAATTCATGAAATCCAAGCAGCCGCAACAAGGAAAAAAACGAAGAGATCGAAAGACATGCTTGAATGAACAAATTTTACCATTCTTGGCAAGCTCAGCGAGGACGTGAGTGGCGCGCTTAGCCGCGGCTCGATCGGATTCCTTCCATGAGAAAGCGTAGTCAAGGACGTCAACCTGAGCCTTCACCTCGGCGAGCAACGCCTCACGGACGTCGCCGGTAGGCGGTGGAGCCGAGATCTCAGACTCCTTCCAATTCCTCCTCCAGCTTCCGCTTCTGTCCTTTCCTCTCAGAGAAGCCCTGATCTTGGCGTCTCTGAAGCTCCATGAACAGGAAAAAGAAGCAAGAGAGAAGAAGAAGAAGCAGAAGAAGAAGGACTCTGGCTGAGCAAGCGTGCGCTCGTAACACAAGGGAAGAGAGGAGAGAGAGGGGCTCATCCACAGTGAAGCTTAGGATACCAGATTGCAGGGGCAGTATGGGAAATTCACCCGAAAAACTTCGCTTTGATTCATTTTTCGTATTTCGCTTTTGAACTTTGGGTATAGAGAAGTGTCGGGCAAAAAACCGGCCGCATTATTTCCGGTTCAGGAGGTTGGGCAGTGCCCCACCCCCAACTTCCGCTGGTTAGTTATTACTCCCTCCAAATTAAATACAACGCATTTTGGAATTTTTTTATTTTACTTGTTCTTTTAAAATTTTATTATTCATATTTTTTGGAAAAAAAATTACTATGATATTTCAAGAAAAAAAATCACTAGAGTCTTTCCTTAAATAAATATAAGACACGCAAATTTATAAATAATAGGAACTGTTTTTATTGCATTTATTGATATATTAGTTAGTTGAGGATTTAAATATAATAAAAAATATTTAAAAATAAGAATATTTTACATTTTATTCATGAAAATTATTAATTCATAACATATTTATAAGATTTAAGGAGAATATTAATTTTGAAAATAAAATAATACTCTTCTCATTTGGGGGGGGAAAAAAACATGTGGCTGCTTGCTAAAGCCAGCTGCGCATGCTGGATCAGTGGCAGTGGTTTGAAGCTTCCAAGGTGCGAGCCCGCTGGCACTACAAGGGCGTGTTTGCCTGCACGTTCACTTGTAGTCATCAGTCAACAAAGTAATAAGACTTTTTAAAATAAAAAAATCCAAACTTATTAACATGGGCAACTACTAACATGCATAAAAAAAAGATTAGATTAAGTTTGAAATTAATACTACTTCCAGTTCTAATTATAATAGCTAGTTGACTAATTTGAAGGGATTAAGGAAATAAGTTAAGTTAGTTATTTGTAATGAATAGGTGTTGTCTTTTCTAAAATATCATTACTAATCAAGTGTATTGACTAGAACTATCATTATTAGAAAGACTTTTTTGAAAAAAATATATAAATATAAAAACAAAATGGATTGGGATATTATATTTAGGACCAAAATAAAAATCAAATGAAGCCTTATATTAAAGACCGAAGGTAGTATTTTGTAAGGAAAAAAAGTCACGACAAAAGAATCTAAAACGAAATTCTATTTATTGTGATCCCGACCAAATATCCGTTCAAACTAGGCTAATACCAAATTTAAGTTGGCTTAGTAGTCAGTTAACTATAATTTATCCTAATCAAAATAAAAGTTATTTATGTTTTATTGTAAATTACATAAAAAATATTATTTTTGACATTATTTGTTAACCTTTTATGTTAATTAATTTTTTTGGTTAAGAATAAATATTTTTTATTAGAAACAATCTTATTTGATATATTATTAAGAAAAAAAATACAAACATTTCTTTCAATAAAGATTTGAACATTGATTTATGGGGATGAACTCTTTTTGTTAAACTTCATTTTTTAATCCATATTTTTGGGGTGTAGCTGAGCTGGACATATGGTTTTGAGGTCCCAGCCCTTTTGGACATATGGCCTGGCTTAGCTCTAGGCCCAGTCATGTCTCAATGGACCTAGTGGGGCTGATATATAACTTGGTTTCAAATGTAAACACAGTTTTTGGCGGAAAAAATGTGAACAAATTTAGATTCATATTTAGTGTCCGCAGTGTCTTAAATAGAATTATCTCTAATAAGCAAATACTTGTATTTCATGGGAAAAAATTTATGGGAACGACGCATCCTACTGAGTTCGGCGGTAAAAACCGAATCTCTCACCAACAAAGGAGACGCCGCGTGACAGTATGATATACAGCACCTTATCCTGGGTTGAGTTGAACTAATAAGCTCCAACCTAAAATTTTGTATCAAAAAAAATTATGCCAATAAATTGGTTTTTAATTAATAAAGAGTTGGCTTGTACTCTTTCAATCCTTAATATAAGAACTAATTGTTGAGTTAATTTTGATCCTAAATATAAAACCTATTTTTCATATTTATCAATTTTTCCTAAATTACCCATATGGATACTCCTTCAACCATAATCAAGTAGAAGAGGGAAGGAGGATATTAAAAAAGATGATTACCGTGTTTTAAGAAAAACATGTCATATTTTTTATAATTAACTAACTTACCTAACTTTTTTAATCTAATCAGATTAGTTAAATATGTCTTATATTAAAGATCGAAGGAATAATTTATAAGATTAGTCAATTAGATCTCATATCAATAATGATTATCCTATCAGATGAAGTGGCATTGATAGTCCATCTAGATATATGATATCTTTATATTAATCAAAAATTATTTGTATAATTATTTAATTAAGACATGAATGTTATGTCGTGCTTGCGAACAAAATTAAATCAGTCAAAGGATTACCAAATCCCCAATAAAATGTCATTCCAAAAGTAGAAACATATATAATGATAATTAGGGATAACCTTTTAAAAATGTTTTTTTAATAAACTAAAATTTAATGTTACAAAGAAGTTATATTCATGATTCAATTGAGCGACTCATATTAAATAAAAAAATAAACAAATTTAACTCACTAAATTAAAAAAAAGTTTGATCCATTCACGAAAAAAAAAAAACTAGAAGTGTTAGTTTGCTCGATCACCAAAAAAACAAATCGTTTACTTAATATCCATTTTGAATTAGCCGTGAAAAATTAATTTTGCATTATACAAAAAAGAGAGCTCTGTTATAAAAATAAAAGAGTTAGAGAGTAGAAAGAGGATAGCAAGACAAGAATTGGGAGAGAAAATAAAGAGTATTTCTCATATACATATATGGGTACAAATGCCTTGTATGTGACTTCTATTTATAGGCCCCCAACCATAAAAGTCTAATGCAAGAGTTACAAAGAAATGAATAAGGGAATAATGACAATAAACATGAAAAACTCCTCTAAAGTCATTCATTGGGGGGTTATGGGTTTAAGACATTCTAAGATCAGGAATCCTATGAAGAATCCTAAGAGTTGGGGGTTATAGAAATCCACATATATACAATATTTATAACACTCCCTCTTGGATGTCCATAACAAATATTGTGCCTCATTAAAACCTTACTAAGAAAAACCAAGTGGGACAAAAACCTAGTAAAAGAAAAAGAGTACACAATATATATTAAGGCTACCTCATTAAAAACCTCAACCAGGAAAACCCTGTGAGACAAAACCTTGGTTAAGGAAAAGAGTACAGCATGATCTTTGCTCCCCCTGTCAACAGCATAACTCTATATCATTTTATCGTAATAGAGTAAACTAGTTTCTCAAGTCGTCCAATGCTTTTTCAAGCATATCTTCTTTTTAGTTAAACTATGCATGGTACATCATCATCAGCTTATATTGAAATGTATTCCTCTAACATATCTTCTAGATATGTGGAATTATCAATATATTCTTCACTTGCACTAAGAAAACTCCAAAAAAAGGTTATTCTAAAAAAAAACACCATAATATATCTTGCATCAGCATGATTAATTTAATTCGAACAAAATGATATCATATAATAGTTTTATAGAATTATATATCCAATCTTAATTTTGTTATTTACATGCATACCTGCAGAAACTTATTTTTACTAATAAAATTATAACACGTAATATTGACAATATATGTAAATATTATTATAGAATAAATATATGGGACTTCTAGTCTATTTAGTTGAATATATTTTGCAGACAAAATTATCATAACAAAATCAATCATTTTGTAATCATTGATGCATTTAATAACTTGATCTATGGGTCAAGTAAGATATGAAATTATTTATTTTCTAATACATTTTTAAGCCAAATATATATACTCAGATTATCTTATTCAACATAATATTTTAAATATTAGATGATTTTCTTCTATATAAATACTTTTGGCATTTTAAATCCCTCAAGAATTCTCATGTAAACCTCATTATTTAATGAGCCACATGCATAGGCTATAACGATATCAAATAGACGCATATTTTGTTTTGATATACTGCTAGACTAGTAATATATGCAAAAATTATTGCATCCACCGTAAAATACTATGCCTAATCATAATCACTAGACCTTTGTGAAATTCTTTATTTCCACAAAAATATTCATATGTCACATAATAACTTTGTATTTGATGTGTTCGGACTGCAGGTCCATAATAACATCATTATATTTCCATTACGTCTTTTTTCTTTTCCTTTTGCTTTTGGTCAAATTTCTATCTTCATATAAGATCCTCTTTTTTTTTTGGATTACTCCATCCGGTATCCCAGGGAAATAGGCGTCTTTCAGCCGTGACAACGTTCCCAGACTAATCGGATTCGAGGGCTTGCAAGGATCCATACAGACGGCGCCCCCTGGCCTCTTTAAAATCACATGATATATTATCAAAAACATTGTCGACAACTTTATTTTTTTTTTGTTCTATTTTTCCTCTTGTGACATAACTTATTGAGATTTTTTCATTACTTTTCAGGTATCTGAACCTCTTCTGGGGCTTTTTTTTTCCAATAAGTTATATCTTGGCACTCTTCTAGAGCACATGCCTTCTTGATATGACTTCTAAATTTCATGCTTCTTTTTATCCAATATAATTATATTAGAACTGATTAATCTCTCATGCTTCAGGCATGTCTCGCTTTTATTTATACTAATCGGAGTATTTTCTGCTGGAATATGAGATTTAGTAATACTCACTTAGGTCAGTAATAGCATCTGGCACCTATTTTGTAATATCTCATGAATGCATTATTTGATGAACTTCTGGCTCATACTATCATATATCTGAGGATCTATACTTGATAATAATAATGCATTCTATATGTTATCATTTTTCAACTACTTAATTTCTCCCCCTCATGTTGGGAAAACTTTGTTCGTGTTGAAAAACCTGTCAATAATAATAAATTAATCATACAATATAAGTCTCCTAAATTCATTTGTTTCGTTTAGAAACATCCTTTCATTTTATTTAGAGACAAAAAGGAGATTCTTTCTCAACATATATCCCAACTTTTTTTTAAATATCCATCTATGTGCATTGTGGTAGGCTGATATTAATAAATATTGCACATTTAAACTTTTAAGATGGAAATATTTGGCTCCTGACCAAAAGCTAATTTTTTATTGGGAGAATTTGTTGGCTTGATATGTATAAGTGCTATAAAATGTCAAATCAAATATGTCAACACTAAAATGAAGATCTTGTTCTCAAAAGTATTGATCTAGCTACTTTTAAAGGCTTTAATAAATTATTCTACTAGATCATTCTATTGAGTAGGCTTTTCAGCAATTTTCTAATAAATATAGGATAATCATTCAAAAGCTAAGATATAAACTCATTGATGTTTGCTATAGAAATTTTCTAGATCACACTTTTCTGGAAATGTGCACTCAACATATATAATGATCTACTCAATTAGTCTTGCAAACTTCAGGTTGCAACCTAATAATAGCATATGTAACCATCTTATAGATGCATCTATCAAATTTATTAAATACTTGTGTGGTTTACATGCTATTGGTATGGGCCCATATATCTGAATTTGATATATTTCCAGAAATGTAGGGATCCATTGTACATCATAACTGGTGATATCAACATAATCAATTTTTCTTTGAGAACAAGAACTATATGAACTCTTGAATCATATAATATGTTGTCTATTTATGAAGAATCTTCTGGTTCTTCAATGGATGTCAATAATAATCATCAATGATTTGTTACATCATCTATATGATTCATGATGATCAAACAAGGCATACCAACTATAAATCTAATTGGACAAGTAAACTTCTGGTTTACTGTAATAAGCTTCTTATATAAGTAAAACTCTATCTAACATCAACTCACACTTGTATTAATTTAATTGGGCTATTACATTTTAGATCCTTTGGAGAATCGAAATTTTGATGTGGATCAATGGGTCATATTTTTCACTATCAATTCTTTGTCCGCCCAAAAAAAAAATTTGCATTACTTCTTCAGGAACTATATTAATATTTTTATACATAGTTCTTCAGGAACTATGTAATTTGAGAAGAATAAGGAGACAAATTCATCTTAATAACATCGTAATACATAATAATAATAGTTATAAGTATCATAAGTTTAACTTGTAATATATAGAGAATTTACACATACTGCAAAGATGATTTTGTCCAACTAATCAAAATTAATATCAACTATTTATAATAAATTTTCTCATAAAGTTAAATAACTTTTCATTCTCTCAATTCAAATGTAACATAAATATATGATTTTTATTTTTCTCACAAATATTACAATAAGACCAATTTAATTTAAATATATAAGATCAATGATTCATCATTTCAAAAAATAACGATTAACATACCTCTTAACATTAGAATAGAGGAATATAAATATCCAATTTTTTATTATGTTATTTCAAAATGTTCAAATTTTTAAAGATTAAATGGTATTTGAACTAATCCAACATCCATACAATTTTTTTTAAAATTATAATTATCATTTGCATATGCTTAATTTTTTCTCATAAGCAAACTCATATAGTTGAAAGGAACATAAAATGACTTTTTGAGAACAAAATGTAAAATTGAATGTATTATTCAGAATTTTTCAACAATAATCAAGATACCATATATCATTTATTTAATTTGCAACACTCAATATGTCAATTAGAAAAATACTTACATATTATATGAATGCCTAATTTTTTTTTCTCAACTAATTTCTTGTTTAGTTAAACTCAAAACAATTTCAAATGCTCACAATAAAATTTATTGTCAATAAATCACAATAAATCATTCAAACCAAGATCATACAAATGGCATATAAATAAACAAAATATGAACAATATATCATCTCTTTAATTTGCGCACAAATAGCACAATAAAGTACCAATATCATAATATGACCATCTTTTTGGCTATTCTATTGATATGAAAATAAATTATATTCACAATTCATATTCATAAATATGCAAGTAAATTAGCAAATAAATTAACATTTCAAAGTGACCAATAACTACTTTTAATGTTTATCAATATCTTTATATCAAATACTTATAATAATATATTTCTACCAATTAATCACAAGAAATTTAAAATAATATTATATAACCTTTTGGATATAGCCTTCTAATGATTATATTTTTCAACTTTGACTAATTTGAACATATTTCTCTATAAGAAATTACTTTGGGCATCATAAACATTTTCATACTTTTCATAATATCTCTTGATCTTTTGATTTCATAACCAATTTTAACATTTACTTTCAATAGATTGGTACATATATTTATCCATATGACTTCTGGTCATATTATGATATTTACTCATAATTGTGTTTGACTATAGAGGTATCAATATCTCCTCAATTATGGTTTAATAGCTAAAACCAAAGATTATTGTCCTTTAATTATTAATTCCAACAGTACAATGTGGGCATGCTCTTTATCATTCTTATAGGCATGTTTCTTACTTTCAGTAGCATATAATCAATTTCTTCAAATATTAGTCTTCAGGACTATAGCAAAAATCTTTCAAATAAAGCTCGTTTATGCCATTTGATGTTTGAACTATTAGCCTTCAGGGCTTTGATACTTGTCACCATGTAGCCTTCAGGGCTTTGATATTTGTCACTATTAAATCATCAAAGTGCCATAGATTTTTCTTGTCATTCCCTTTAAAAGCATCCATAGTGTTCTTTCACATATTGGTCATCTAATCACATATGGCTTCTAGCCATTCAATAAAATAAAATAAAATAATATTGCAATGAAGTAAATTAAATAAATTAAAGTTTATAATCAAATATAAATAACATTATATAATCATATATATATATATAATACTGCGATCGATATAAAATGACATAATATAAACCAAACAAATATATGTAAACAAACAATAGAACAAGAAGTATGGAAACATAAATAAAATAAATAACACAATATCACAATGGGGAGATAATAGAATTAAAATGTATAAAAAGAATAAATTAATAAATAACATAAAAAAACAACATAATATATAGCAAATATACAGAAAATTAAAATTAGACGTGATAATAAGATAAAAGGAATAATTGTGTAAGGAGAAGTTAGTAGAAAGTATTATCATATACTATAAGAATATATTAATTTACAAAGGGCTTATACCTCAAATCTTCAGAGCAAACTCGTGCTGATAACGTGTTATAAAAATAAGAGAGTTAGAAAGTAGAATGAGGATAGCAAGACAAGAATTGGAAGAGAAAACAAGGAGTATTTCTCATATACATATATGGGTACAAATACCTTGTATGTGGCTTCTATTTATAGGCCCCCAACCATAAAAGTCTAATCCAAGAGTTACAAAGAAATGAATAAGGGAATAATGACAATAAACATGAAAAACTCCTCTAACGTCATTCATTGGGGGATTATGGGTTTAAGACATTCCAAGATCAAGAATCCTAAGAGTTGGGGGTTATAGACATTCACATATATACAATATTTATAACAAGCTCAATAATAAATTAAATAAATAGTCTCGGACCAAAAAAAAAAAATCCAACCCACCAGGAACAAGTCAACCAAGATTATGACTGACGACTCATCTACGAGGGCGAATGACGCCTCGTCCGAACGGCCGACTCTGACTTCTTATTAATTCAAACGAACTGGAAAACGACAACTGGCCTCTCATTGCTTCAACTGCCCTTTTTTTTTCTTATTAAAATTCACAAACAAACCCCCCCACAATTTGCCCGCTTATTTATCATTAATTTTACCCCATAATCCTTCCAAATTACTGCTAATTTACTTTAACGTGTAACTTACTCATTTTCCTGACCTTACCAAGCTTACTCTTGTGTCAATTTAGTTATTTTATATGCCTCTAATATTTACCTCTATCTCCTTTTTTTTTTAAAAAAATTTAAGTTACTTTAGGTTTGAAATTAATTTTCATTGAGTCAGGAGCATTCGGATTAAAGTTCTTCCCAGACAGTGTACTTTGTTGGATTTAAATTTGTGTTTTTTTTCTTAAGTAAGTTATACCGCCTACTATTAGTATTTACAAGGCATATTTCTGAAAATTTCCCCCAATTTTTATCCTTTTATGTTTTTTCCGACTAGATGCATAATTTTGTTAGCTTTATATCTTCTCTGCTTTTTTTTTTTTTTTAACAGAACACAACTAACTAATTTTTTATATGCGCAAGTAACTAATTTATTATGACTAATAAATACAACTAGCGATAATTAAAATTAATAAATATGTTAAAAATATAAATTCTCTTTAAAAATACGTTCATTTGTATGGTTGCTACTTCTTTTATCCCTAATTTGAATGGGTAGTTGCCAAAACACAGACAAAGGAGATTGTTTCTTGTTTAAAATTTTGTTCATTCTTTCTAAATCTGCCCCAAATTACAAATAGAGGTATTTTAAAAAGATTTTTTTTGAACATTTGATATCTTGAATCTACCTCACTTCAATTATTTATCAGGGGTTTAAATTATTCTTCCGGTTCTAAATATAAGACTCTTTTTGTAGTGTAAATTACACTACAAAAAGAGTCTTATATTTAGGATCGGAAGAGTAATTTGGATTGGGTTGGTAGGGCCACAAAAGATGGCAGATTCATAGGTTATTAATTTTTCAAACATTCCTTAAAAAATACCAAAATAAAATGTGGGTTTTTCCCCCAAAAAAAAAAGATCGTTAAACAGGATAAAATTAATTCGTGGGTAAGTGGTTGTCATTTTCCCTCTTTTCCTCTTCCCGCGTCGTTTCCATTTTTCTATTTTTAAGCAGTATTTGTTTATTTGTTAATTGGTGAGACTTAGCCGTCGTTACTCGTTTCGTTTCCATATAATTAAATATATTCCTTTCTTTATTCCTTCCCCCCAACTCCATTTCCGTTTGCTTCCCCACTATTCCTTCCTTCCTTTCTTCCTTTCATGCTTCTTCACCAAAACTGAAAGACCTCTTCAAAATTCATACTTCTAACAAAACCCCACAACTTGCTCTCTCTCACCTTTCATGCCATATCCATTCATTGTTTCCTTCAACCACCATGCCCTTCCTTCCCTGTCTCCTCCTCTTCTTCTCGCTCTTCCTCAACATTTCTCTCTCTCAAACACCTCCTAAAGGTACTCAAGCTTCTTGTTCGAATTTCTTTCTGTATATGGTTTATGAGGAATTCATGAAATCCATATATCAAGCTGTTAGTTTTTGAGTTTTTTCAATTGAAATTGCTTTGGGTAAATGGTTTCTGAGAAATTCATGTAACCCGCATGTGTTTTCATTGATTGTGGAGCTGCAACGACTGGGTCAAGCTATTTGTTCTTAAGTTTTTTTTTTTCCATAGAAATTTCTTTGTGTAAGGAGTTTCTGAGAAATTCATGTGATTTCCAGGTTTTTTTCTTGATTGTGGAGCAGCCTCTAGTTCTACAATTGATGGTCTTACATGGATTCCCGATTCGGAGTTTATTTCTACTGGTACAGCCAAGAATTTGACCACCCCTGGTTTGGCTCAAACTCTGTCCACCGTTCGATCCTTCCCGCTTCAAGACAAGAAGAACTGCTACAATTTTCTGGTGTATAGCGGGGCAAGGTACATGGTGAGGACTACGTACTTCTATGGAGGAGTGAACGGACCCGATCATCCTTCCCCGCCGGTGTTTGATCAGATGGTGGATGGGACTTTCTGGAGTGTGGTAAACACCACAGCGGATTACGCAAATGGGAACTATACCAACTACGAAGGGGTTTTCTTAGCTCAGGGAAAGACTATGACTATCTGTATCGGGTCAAATACTTACACGGATTCCGACCCGTTTATATCGGCTCTACAGCTGGTGATCCTGGGTGGTTCCCTGTACAATGCTACGGACTTTGACAAGTATGGGCTCAGTTTGGTTGCGAGGCACAACTTTGGATACTCTGGACCCCCCATTCGGTTAGTGAAAAATTGTTTTTGCCCCATTCCTTTCAATTCTATCACTATGGAAGCTTTTTAGTAAAATTATGATTTGATGCTGTTTATGTGGGCTTAGCAGTGATCATTAGATTTGTAATGAAGTTCTTTTGGTTTACAAGTCCTAATGCTTATTGACTTTGCTTGATGGTGTCTAATTGCTACTTTAGTTTACCTTACAATGTTTTTGTGATCATGGAATTTTCCATCGGAAATTTATTGAACACCACAGAAATTCAGAGAGACTATTGTAATTTAGAGAGAAGCACACTGGTGAATGAAACATGGCCACGATCTGCTTGAAGATGCTTCTAATTTAATTTGCAGTAGGGAAGAATGTTCATAGCATTTTTCCCAGTAATAAATTAGAATTATCACACTGGCTTTATGCCTGGTTCCGTTTATTTTTCTAATAATTAGTCGTCATGGTATTACCAGGTATCCTGATGATCAGTTTGACCGTTTCTGGGCACCTTTTACACCAAGTAATTCCAGCCATTCAGGCAGCAGCAATGCTTCTGTTTCAGGAATTTGGAATCTTCCACCTTCAAAAATATTTGATACGTGGCTGGGTTCTGATCAGCTGGAATCCTTGCACTTGGCATGGCCTGAGGCATTACTTCCAAACTCCAACTACTCCATTGCTCTATACTTTGCAGATTACAGTGGATCATCATCAGGGAGACCAAGGATTTTAAACATTAGCGTGAACGGTATAAGATATTACAATGGTTTGAATGTGACTGAAGCTGGTGTTGTTGTCTTTGCCAACCTTTGGCCTCTTTCTGGTCCTACAACAATCACTTTGGACCCTGCTTCCACTTCACCCTTGGGTCCCTTGATTAGTGCCGGTGAAATTTTTCAGATGTTGCCACTCGGAGGAAGAACTTTAACGCGAGATGGTATAGCTACTTTTCTTTTTTGGGAAAGTTTGGATTATATTTAAAACAATTTTTGAGCAGGATACATATATTTAGTCAACCTGAAAATATGAGTATATTATTACATCAAAGAAGACAACTATTCCTTTGGTGACAATGCTTCCTAGCAATTTATCCCTAAGATGTTTTTCGTTGCTTATGTCCTGGTGATAACAAGCGGGTAAATCTTCCAAATTTCAAGTTGGCCTCGTATAAGTAGCTTCCTTGTCCAAAATACAGTTGACTGGTTATTCTTTATTCATAGTTGCAGCCTTCTTTAAATGTTTGGTCATAGTAACGGTGTCCATGTATGTTATTTGTCATTATTCAATGTTTTTGAAAAGGGAGCTTTTCTTGACAGTTATTGCATTGGAAAAGATAAAAGAGAGCCTCCAAAATCCTCCACGCGATTGGAATGGCGATCCTTGTATGCCTCGCCAGTACTCTTGGACTGGCGTCACGTGCTCGGAAGGAACAAATATTCGGATAGTGAACTTGTAAGAACAGACTTGAGTTGTTCTAACATAGTAATTTGTACTTTCTTTTTATTCTGGTGCGCTAAACAATGATTTTCTGACTCATGATTTGGTATTGATTTCAGAAACTTGACAAGTATGAACCTTTCTGGATCTTTATCACCTTATGTTGCCAATCTGACAGCATTGACAAACATGTAGGTTGTTTAGTTTAAATAAATAGTTTTATGAAATTTAGGATAAACTTAGTTCTAATCAACAAATCATCGTCTTCCTGCAGCTGGCTTGGTAATAACAATTTGTCTGGACAAATTCCTGACCTCAGTTCACTAAGGATGTTGGAAACACTGTAAGTTCTATTCTTTTTTTCCCCCCCCTCTTGATTCTGATAAGATGATTTGTCTTTTAGCTTACGATCAATAACACCATCGGGTAAAGTCACTATACAAATAGAATTAGACCATTCAAAGGCAACAGTGATATTATGATTGTTTTTGGTATCAATAATGATTAATGTGTTTGAGAGTAAATTGCAATTTCCAAGTGGTTGAATCTGAGAACCTTATATCATACACAGAACACAATTTTTGTATTTTTCTTATCCTTTTTTTTTTTTGGGAATTTTAAGGCACTTGGAAGACAATCAATTCACTGGAGAGATTCCCTCATCCCTGGGGAACATCAGCAGATTGAATGAACTGTAAGTTCTGCTTTCTCAAGATATATTAGAGAATGCAAGCAACTTTCTACTATTTGGAGTTCAGACCTCCACCCTTTCTTTCCAAGTAGTTTCTTATAGTTTCAATTATCCTTCTTCTATTGAAAATAAAGTCTATATACTTGTTTAGATTCGAGAGTATATCAGAACAGAAATTTATAACGACTGAGATTTTGCGTTGTAGATTGCGATCATATTTATACACTTCAATTTTTAAGTTTTGTTGGTATCTTGTTTCTTCTTTTCTGTTTCCATTTCAAATTTAACACACAATGGCCGATCAGTAATTCATCATTTGGGCCTTTACATAACATAATTCAGATATATCTTTACATGAAACTGGACTTTCTCTTTTATTGGCAATTACTCAGTAATTTCAGCTCATAAGTTTTTTTTTTAAAACTTAATTCCTATCCCTATTTTTCTAATGATTTTTCCCTGGCCATTCCTTTTTATTTTCAATTAAAGTGAGTCTCATGCACTGCATGGAATCTGAAAAATAAGTCGTACTATCTCCGGTCCTAATTATAAGAGCCAGTTAACTAATTTGAGGAGATTAAGGAAGTAAGTTGAGTTAGTTATTTGTCTTAAATAGGTGTTTTCTTTCCTAAAATATCCTTACCAATCAAGTGTATCGACTAGAACTATAATTATTAGAAGGACTATCTTAGAAAAAATTGAGTAAATATGAGAGACAAAGTGGATTGGGGTCTTATATTTAGGACCAAAATAAAAGTCAAACAGGTCTTATATTAAGGACCAGAGGTAGTATTATTCATGACTCACAAATAGAACAATTCATTAAAGTTTTTATATTATATATAAAGACTAAGATTAAAATTTTGGAATTCCTAGAATTTGGATTACTGATTCAGTTACTTTTTCCCTTCAGATTCTTACAAAACAACAACCTGACTGGTCAAATTCCGCCAAATCTCAACGGAAAACCAGGCCTAGATCTTCGGTAAGTAAGAACAGTGTAGAGCACCCATTTCATGCCCTTTTTCCCGCTCTTTTCAATTGTTCTTTTGCTGACTATTTTCTTATTAACAGGACTTCTGGAAATAATTTCTCATCACCTCCACCATCCTGATCAATTCTCTCCACACATTCTGTGACCAACATGCACTTGTATTTACCAAGAAGTTTTGATTCTAGTACACTTTCATGCATAGGATACTTTACTCCCCAAAGATGCTCTGTTTTTCTGCTCATCCTAACTTTTTCTGGAGGTTCCTCATCATCAACGTTCTCTTCTTGGGGAAGACAAAGGTTTCTTCTTTTGACATGGAGATATAAAGGTCCCTGTCTGTATACTCAAGTTTGATTATAAAGTCCCTTGTAACTATATCTTATCCATGTGCAGGCATTATTCATTATTTTATTGAAATTCTTTGGGTTGTTTTTGGGCTGTTTGCTCCTCAAACATATGTATTATTGTATTGTGTGATAATTGCATCTTCAGTTTTGTCTTTTATATGGCTGGACTGCATAATCAACGGCATTGTGTACTCCTTTTTTCACTGTTCAAAGTGATAGCTTCTGTTTATTTTCGTCTGATATGGCTTCCTTGAATCATTTTTCTATTCCACTTCTATTGCAAGTTCTGAAATAGAATCCAATGATAGAACAAACCCCACGACAAGAATTTTCATTTTTTGAGGTCAAATTGGTAAGTATTTAAGCATGCACTTCATACTTGAAAGTCAAAAGGGCAAATACTTCAAATTTGTACAAGTTCTTTTAGAATGACTTATAAGCAGTTTTTTAATCATGATTTATGAAATACGAGATAAGTATGCGAGAGAAATTTGATCTCAACTTACATGAAATGTGTTTATAAGCGCCTACAAATATAATTTCAAATGGGCTCTATAATATTATATATTTGCTAACAATGTTAATCAAATAGCTAAATGTCTCATTCATACGGAAGGAAGTGTGCTCGGATTTGTTTTATAATATGATGATTTTATTGGGGAGCAATTTGATAGTAGTAGTACTCTTTATAAGTACTATTTGAAAGGTGAGACCTAATTTTATTATACTTTGCTGAGGCAAGAAGTCTTAATATCACAGGTCCTCCTTATTCACATATCAGCTCAAGTTTGGATTTAGATGGAACAATTTGAGAAAACATTAATTTTATTTAGAATATTTGAGATAATATAGTTGTTTTGGGTAACTGATCAAAGAAATTTAGAAATTCTAAGTAAATTAAGTACAAGATCGTCTATTCAACGATGGGAAAGTTCCTACTCCCCATTTTAGGTAAAATTTCAATTTCCCTTTTCTTTTTTTCCCTCTGTCAGACAGACTGAAAAACTGGCAACATTGGACCCATCCACTATACTTTGTACCTCAACACCAAACAAAAACAGAAAAACTTGACCCTACATTTTCTCGCATTGGCAATGAAAATTATAAGAACAAGTTAGGCCTTCTTACGAATGACGGTAAGAAATTTTAAAATTAGTTTTTTAATTATAATTTACGAAATATAAAGTAGTAGATATATTATGAGAGTTTTGTCTCAACATTGAAAATTAAAAATGCTTATAAGCACTTCTTAAGCTTGTTTATAGGGCGTTTGGTATCATATAAAAGTGTTTCTGAAAAAACTTTTCTGTAAATTAGATAAACTTCTCTGCGTATCTAATTCCAATTACATACTTATATGATAATTCTGATTACATAATTATTTTGTAGTATGATTAAAAAGCTGTTTTCTAAGAATCTAATCCCATATCCAAACGAGCTCTTGCAGTCTTACCGTCTGAGCTAGCAACACGTGTTGACCCCCATCAAACTATCCGTTCAAGCTTTATTTTTGAAGACCTGGGGTTCGTAAATCAAAAGCTTTACATAAAAAGACTTTTAGGTCCCGTCCTAATAAACCAGAAAAAAATGGCTTCGAACTTGAACGGGTTGACTGAAACGCAATTTAAAGTCTTCCGAAAACATAATCAAAATATAATGATACTAACATGTTGGATTCTTTTGACATTTTTAGGTTATGGAAGGTTAGTGGATTCAAATAAACTAAAAATCTCGCTGTCTTTTTTTTTCTTTTTTGGTGGTGGGTTCGCCTACCTGGCCTTTTATTGAAGAGAAACACTAGAAAACAGAAGAAGATATGAAACTCATCATGTTGTCTCACTTAATTTTTCTCTAAAATCACATCGAAAAAAAAAATTCACAGTTTTGTCTCAATGAAAAGTCCATAGCTCATTAATTGTACTGTCCACTTATAAGCCCTCAGGCTCTAAGGTGCCCACGTGGGAGTCTCAGATTGATCTCTGCAGAAGCCATGTGACGTGACTTCCACTTTGCAAGCACGCAGCTCAGAAAAATACAATCAGAAAAACTCTTGTTTTTTTTGTTTGGGAGAAATCAACAATCCATTGAATCCAATATGATTATAGAAATTAGAATCTACATATCGTAATTCCCCAGATCCAATCCGGTTCACACTAATCTAACAAGAAAACATAATAATATTAATATGGAACAAATAAGAGAAACTGAAGAAGTAGTAAACTTGTTTGAGAGAGAACTACTCTGGGAATCACACATGAAACAGCCTTAAATCTTCCTCATCAGATAGTTTATGATGTTACTTGCGTTTCTTGTGTGAAAATAGAGGAGGCAACGAGCTGCTTTTGACCTGCGTGCAAATGGGAACGTTAATCATTGGCCTAATTCGTATATTTGTTGTTGATGATCTTGTTCTCTCAAGCTTCGTCGTCTTCATGCCCTTCTTCACTTGCTTCTTCTCTTTAATCCCTTCTTGTTTGGAAGCTGTATCAGAAAGTGAGCTTGAAGAAGAAGATGAAGAAGAAGAAGAAGGTGATAATACTGATGCAGAAGAAGAAGAGGAAGAAGAAGAACGTTGCTTCTTCAACCTTAGTAATTCCTTCCATAGAACAGTGCAATTAGGCGGTCTTGGAGATGGATCTTCATCAACAAGCCAATTATTCACTTTACTTTCTTCTTCTTTCTTCCCTTGTTCTTCTTCTCCCTCTTTTACTGGGTCGTTTTCTTTTTCACCATCATCTTCATTTTCTTCCTCTTCAGTTTCTTCTTTGGCTCTGAGACTGATCTTCTTGAGCTTCTCAGATTGTTGCTGCATCTGCCAGAAGGGAAGGATCTTACCTTCAGAGAAGAGTTCATCAGCAGTTAACACTGTGTTGTTGTTGTTGTTATTGTTGTTGAGAAGACTCAGATTATTGCTTGACAGGAACTCAAATTCTGCATTATAAATTGATCTTTCTGCTTTTTGCCTTTCTGGGTCGTCTTGTTCATCATCATCCTCCTGGGATTCTGGAGTGATGGATCTGAAAATGCTTCTTGCTTCTAAGAAATCTGCTTGGAAAGATATGCGAGGGCTTGAAGGTGCATCAATGGATCCAAGAGGAGGAGGACTCTGATGAACTGCTTCAAGGGACACCATGTTTTGTGTTCTTGGCTACAAAGAGATGATATGTTTGTGGTTTATAAAGGAGAATAACGCGCCCGTATTTTTGTTTTTTTAAACTAAAAAATTTAGAAGAATTAAGTGTTGGATACTATTATCATAATGAGAGTAAGTCTAGCAATATACTACCTCTAGTCCTAATTATAAGAACTAGTTCACTAATTTAAAAAGATTAAGAAAATAAATTAAATTAGTTATTTGTAATAAATATGTGTTGTTTTTTTTAAAAGATTTTTACTACTTAAGTGTGTTAGCTAAAACTACAATTTTAAAATGACTATCTAAGAAAAAATTGCATAAATATGAGAAATAAAGTGAATTAAAGCCTTATATTTAGGATTAAAATAAAAGTCAAATGAAATTTTATATTAAAGAACAGAGGAAGTATAAAATAATTAACAAGTATGTGTTATATCTTACCCTATCAACGAACTATTCACATTTTTGGAGAGATTTGAATTAAAATTAAAATTTTCTTTTTTTTTTTATTTCTATTTCTGCGTTTTAGTGTTTAAATTTAAAAGATTAATTTTCTAACCAAAAAGTGTTTCAGATGACTGTATAAATATTTGTTCAAAAATATTTCTATAATTTTTTTTTCAACCAGAATTTCTACAGGCTATTATTTATCTCGTCTATGGGGCAAAAATATACTTTGCGCTAATACCCAAAAGTTGGTTTTCAACAGATTGTCATTCTCATTGTGGTCCCTACCAATCAAAATCCATCCAATTAAATTGGATTCTCTAGAATTATCCAGTGATGTGCGCTTAAGATGGAAGAAAAGGAGAACAAGAAAAAGTGTGTAAAAGGCTTGCAATTATTGTAGTTATTTTACATGTTCCATTCAAATATTCCTATGATCGTAAATATAAAAGTTAGATAATTAACTTATAAATATTAATAAAAGTGGTTAATTATTTTTAACAAGTAAAATCATTACTCTCATCTCATTTAATACAGGGAATCAATCATAATTTTAGAAAACAATAATCTCATATTTAGGATTAAATTAAAGTATTTAAGATACTGAAGGGAGTGCATTTTATGCTATAATTGCTTGAAAGTATTCATTTATATATGTGTTGGCATATATAAATTAAATTTAAGCCAGGACCATATTGAGAATTTTTTTCAAAAAAATATTGTCCACATAAATCAAATAAAATGAGTGAGTGGACAGTTAAAATCCATTAGAAAGATGTTATTTTTTGGTAAAGCAGAAAATGAAGTGGTCTAAGAAACCAGAAACATGCAACACATGACAGTGTTTAATATAATTATAAAAGAACAACCGACCAGCTCATGGACACCTTGAGAAGTAAAGACAAAAAGCCTTTTCATATGTAGCCATCTTTTGCTTCCAAATATTCCAAATCTCAAGGAATTTAAAAATAAATAAATGATAACTAAAGGCAATAAACAAAAATTAGGTGAGCAGAGAATTGATATCAATTAATTATGCATATTAATTGTTGAAATAAAATGGAAAGAAGTTCTTTACCATTTCACACAAACTTTTAAAATTGATCTTTTACATGAAAGATTATCATGCTGTGGACTTTTTTCTATTTTATATTATTATTTGATATAATGATGTACTTAGTTACTTCCTCTAATTCAAAATATCGGGAATCTTTTTTTTTTTAAAAAAAAAAAAAGTTGATCTATAATGTAACTATGTAAGTCACCTTAAAATTATTAATTACTATTTTTTTTATTTTACTCTAATTTACTGGTTGTACATAACTATACATTGGACATTAAGGAAGAGAAGAGAGATGAGATAAGTTTAAATAAGAGCAAAGTTGAAGATTTTTTTTAATTTAAGATAAATTTAATAAAGGGTTGATACAAACTTTGGTCTCTGAAATTTGTCTTTATTTTAGTTTTGGTTATTCAAATTTTAAATCATAAATTTTGGTCCCTCAAGTTTCTTTTTATTTATAATATTGGTCCCTAAAACCCAACAAAAACTTGGACCATTTTATCCTCTAGGAAACCAAAACCTATAGTTTGAAATTTGAAGAACCAAAATCAAAATGAGAACAAACTTAAAAAACTAAAAGATTATATTAAGTCAATGGCCCTTACACTGTGGACAGAATTGTTCTCTTAATACTCCCTCTAGTCTTAACTACATGAGCAAGCTGATGAATTTGTTTTAGTTTTAAATGTAAAACCCTACTCTGTTTTTTTTTTCTTCTCAAATTTATAAAATTGTCCCAAGCAATCCTTATTAACTAATTTTTTTAATAATTATAAATTAGTACTCTCTCTAGTTAGGATCCAATGTAGTATCTAGCTTCTACATTTGAGATTAACGAGATTTTTTTTTTTTTGTTATCCATATAAAGTCTGAATCATCCATCTGATTTAAGAGAAATGAAGTAATTTTTACTCAATTATATTCAACTGCTAGTATATTTTGGATTTCGATGTTATTGCTTTCTTAAGATGTAAGCTTAATTAATTAATTAATTAAGTCTGCTTGGAATATATCAAACAAAAAAGTAAAGAGGCTTAATCGTATAATTGGGATTACTAGTATTAAGAGCTCCAACCATGTGGCCACATGAGAGTAGCTTCTTGCCATGTGAGCTCTGGGATTGAGGATTTTCTATGTTACTAGTAAATGACCAATTTACCCTCCGATTAAGCTTCCCATATCTGTTAAGAGTCTGTTATTTCTCCAGTATAAACATGGGTTTATTGTCCAAAACAGAAAAATAGGCAAGCAAATTGTGGATACCCTGACAGCTAATATATTCAAATTAAATCTTTCAATGATTACACATAACTTGCATTTATTTATAACAAATTTTTATTCCCATGCTACAGATAAAATTTAAAAAGATAAAAAAGAAAGATTAAGTTAATCATGTATAAAACTAGTTATTAGTGTTTGATATGCTCCTGTTTCCTTCTATCCTTATTATAAGACACTTTTTAAGATATATAGATGGATGGTTCTTGGTATAAATAATTAATTAATGTTTTTTAATATCACTCTTATGTAATTTTTGAAGTCATTAAATATGTGTATTTAGGTGTGGATAAAATCATAAATTTATTTTATTTTGAAATAAAGTTAATGATTTAATCACTCTTCATTAATTTCAGTCACTTGATCAAGAGTGTCTTATAATAAATTATGTAATTTCTTTAAGATTTTTTTTTGGACAAAAGTTTTCGATAAATGGTAGTAACTAGCTAGAAGCATAAAAATAAGTTTAAACATGTGATTATCATTGGTTTAGTGGCTTAATGATAGGATAATAAGTGTTGACCATAATTTATGACATACATATAAGACAACTCAAGATTGATCATTAATTTCATCACCTATTAATAATGCACTGTGTTTTCTCAGCTGTTCGAATTTCCAAAAAGATCCCAAGAGATTCACTTGAAATTTGAGAGAATATATAATAAAATGTTATAATTAATTAACTGTCATTATGAGTTGAATTTTCCTCAGGTGATTGAGAATAATTCAATTTCTCCATTATATGAAAGAAAAGAAAGTGGCAATCTATCAGAATAATTAGTGATTATCATCTCTTTTTTCTTAAGTTTCTTAAACCCACTATTTATTTTTTCTAGTGGTTATTATTATATAGTTTTATTGTATATATAGCCACATTGAACATTTTTATTAGATCTAAGTCTAGACAAGTCAAACTACATAGGTATAAGAATTATGTCATGATACTGTTCCATCTGCAAAAATCAAACTTAAAAAAAAAAAAACTAAAAGCTATGTGTTAGAACCCTTGTTAGTAATATATGTGTAAAAATGAATTTAGAGGATTGGAAACATCAAACTTAATGGAAGAATATTACAATGAGATCCTAAGAAAAAAATTTACAAAACAATCTTCCAGAAGTTGTCATTCTCTACTTTAGAACTTATCACTACAAACTGCTCAGGTTATTATTGAGACTTTTTAGTAATTATTTCTCTTTCTTGAAACTAGATCGTAGTTTCTTCCAAATGTTATTGTGTTATTATGAAACTAGCTCTGTCCGTTTCACAAGCTTGTATTTTTATTATTCTTACACTTATCATCATGTCTTTGCCCTCTCTCTCTCTCTCTCTCTCTCTCTCGAATTGCATTGTGTGTGTGTGTTTGCGGTGCATACCATTTGATTTTGAGAACCATGAATGATCTAAAACTCTTTCAAAAATGTTGTTATATCTCCCCTACTTAATATAAAACTAGTCGGAAATTTGACTTGGTTTTAAATATAATACCTAAATCTATTTTGTCTTTTAAATTTTTTTTCTAAAATATATCCCTACTGATTGTACATATTAAGGGATTTTCACTAAAGGGTAATTCCAATATATATATCATTAAAAAGGATAGTTCAGGAAAGCAGACAAACATTTGTTACAAATAACCAATTTAACTAATTTTTTTAACATTTTAAAATTAGTTATCTACCTTGCATATTAAGGATTTTAGGTAGTACTACCTCCGGTTTTTAATATAAGACCCTGTTTAACTTTTATTTTGGTCCTAAATATAAAATCCCAATCCACTTTATTTCTCATATTTTTACATCTTTTTTTCCAAAATAGCCCTTTTGACAATGATAATTTTAGTTAATATACTTGATTAGTAAGAATATTTTAGGAAAGTCAACACCTATTTAAGACAAATAACTAACTCAACTTACTTTCTTAATCTCATTAAATTAGTTAACTGGCTCTTATAATTAGGACCGGAGATAGTATTTCTTTTTTATTCACAAAACTCCAAGGTAACAAAACATTTATCACGCTCTAAACAACCTAAACCACATGCCATTAATTATACAGCTGCACATATTGACTTACTTGTGACATATACACAGAGAAAGGATTTAGATTGTGGAAATTTCTCATATATAGTGATGTCAATATCGATACTATCTATATATGTACTGTAGATGATAATGAATTGTCAAAAAGAGTGTTGTCACTTGCATGTTACTGAGCCTCAAGTGTGTAGGGACCTTTCAAGGATAGAAGTT